GGTCCTCAGACAAACAGAGAAACTAAAACCTAACAAATCCCCAGGCCCTGATGAACTGTTTGCAAGGGTGTTAAAGGAATGTAAAGAGGAACTTAGCATACCTTTGGCTAATCTTTTTAACATATCACTACAAACTGGCATAGTGCCAGATAAGTGGAAAATGGCAAATGTAATACCTATTTACAAGGCAGGTGACAGGTCCTTGGCTTCGAACTATAGACAAATAAGCCTTATCCCCATAGTGAGAAAATTTATGGAATCAATAATTGCCGAAGCAATTCATAGCCATCTTGATAGGCACAGATTGATTAATGAATCTCAACACGGTTTTACAAAGGGGCATTCCTGTCTTACGAATTTACTAACTTTTTTCACTAAGGTGTTCAAGGAGGTAGATCATGGTAATGAATATGATATTGTGTATATGGACTTCAGTAAGGCTTTCGATAGAGTTCCACACCAGAGGATATTGAGGAAACTTAAGGCACACGGAATAGGAGGAGAAATTTTTTCCCGGGTAGAGGCATGGCTGACAAACAGGCAGCAGAGAGTTTGCATAAATGGGGAGAAGTCAGAATGGGGGCACGTCACAAGTGGTGTTCCTCAGGGGTCAGTGTTGGGCCCGTTGTTGTTCACAATTTACATAAACGACATAGATGAGGGAATAAATAGCGACATAAGCAAATCTGCTGATGACACCAAAATAGGCCGTCCAATTCATTCTAATGAGGACAATGGAGCACTGCAGGATGATTTGAATAGACTGATGCAATGGTCAGAGAAATGGCAGATGCAGTTTAACATTGACAAATGCAAAGTTCTAAATGCTGGACAGTTAAATAACCATGCCACATATAAACTAAATAATGTAGATCTTAATACTACTGATTGTGAAAAGGATTTAGGAGTTCTGGGTAGCAGTAATCTAAAACCAAGACAACAGTGCATTAGTGTTTGCAATAAAGCTAACAGAATTCTTGGCTTCATATCTAGAAGTATAAATAATAGAAGTCCTCAGGTTCTTCTTCAACTCTATATATCCTTGGTTAGGCCTCATTTAGACTATGCTGCTCAGTTCTGGTCACCGTATTACAGAATGGATATAAATGCTCTGGAAAACGTACAGAGGAGGATGACAAAGATAATCCCATGTATCAGAAATCTTCCCTATGAGGATAGACTGAGGGCCCTGAATCTGCATTTCCTCAAAAGGCGTAGAATTAGGGGGGGATATGATCGAGGTGTATAAATGGAAAACAGGAATAAAAAATGTGGATGTAAATAGCATGCCGAAAATTTCCAGCCAAGACAGGACTCGCAGCAATGGTTTCAAGTTGGAAAAATTCAGTTTCAGGAAGGATACAGGAAAGCACTGATTTGGTAATAGAGTCGTGGATGAGTGGAACAAACTCACGAGTACAGTTATTCAGCCTAAAACATTGTGTAGTTTTAAAAATAGGTTAGATAAATATGTGAGTGGGTGCGGGTGGGTGCGAGTTGGACCTGATTAGTTTGTGCTGCTGGGTCTGGTGCTGTGCTCCATCCTTGAGTGGAGGTGACCAGACTGGGTGGGTCATTGGGCTAATCCAGGATGGGGGGGGGTCATTGGGGACATGGACTTGCTCTGCATGGGTCAGTAGGTCTGTTGCAGTGTTCCTTCTTTTTTATGTTCTTATGTTCTTAACCCCAGGCACAAATACCATAGGTGAGGTACAAGTAGATGAGAGTGGTAAATATCAAGAAGTGCCATTCGGGGTACATAGTACCGTATCTTAGAAAAGAAGCCTACTGTTCTGGAGACTTTCTTGCATACATGTTGTATGTGGAAGGGAACACTACTTAGTCTTACATTTCCTACACTAACTTAAAAAAAAAAATTCTTAGAGAACATTAACCCTTTGACTGTTTTGGTCGTATATATACATCTTACGAGCCAGTGTTTCGAACGTATATACTATACTCAATAATTCTAGCAGCTTCAAATCAAGCAGGAGAAAGCTGGTAGGCCCAAATGTGAGAGAATGGGTCTGTATGGTCAGTGTGTACCATATAAAAAAAATCCTGCAGCACACAGTGCATAATGAGAAAAAAAAAACTCCAACCGTTTCTTTGGATTAAAACACCGACTTTGAGGTGTATTTTCGTATAGTATTTATGGTTGCATTCTCGTTTTCATGGTCTCATGTGACAGAATGGAAAACATATTACAGAAACAGAGATGATTTTGATTAGTTTCACAATGAAAACGATCTTGAAATTGAGCTCAAAGTAGCACAAATGTTTAATTTTTACCAATGTTCAAGAGTAAGCAAATCACACCACATGTCCAATACACTTCAACTGGGAAGTCTAATATTCTTTCACTAGTGCACTGATATTATTTATACCATTTTTACAATAATGCAGTAGTCCGCTTAACAGTAAATCTTCTATTTTTTGTATGAATAAAAAATCAAAATAGAAAGCTATAGTAATATAAGAGGGGCCTAGAGACGTAACTAATGAACAGAAGATATATTATTTAGTGCCAAGAATGCCTACATTGTTTATCCTGGATCCTATTTTGAAATTGGCATCTTTTTAATTTGCATGAAATTGGCCAAATTGCCAATTTCTGATCACTTTATTGGGTAGTTCAAATCAGTAAATGGGCAGTTTCTTGTGCTCAACTGATAGAAAAAATGAAGTTCTAAAGAAACAGCTATGAGTTTGGTCAACTGGAACAATGGAATTGGCCAAAAATAAGGCTCAAAGTCGGCGAAATCGCCGATGCATGTATGCCATCGAGACCGCTAACTTCGTGGAGCATAATTCCACGAGTTTTTGACCAAATTTTGTACTTTTGGTGTCATTACCATCGGGAAAAGATTCTTTATCATTTCATAAGAAAATTTTTTTTTTTTTCCAAAAATTTTTCGACATAGAATGACAGTTTCAGAAAGGGGCTTGCGACAGTCAAAAGGTTAATGTACTTTGTTGGTCTCAAACCAGTCCTAAAACTGCGTAGTAAATATCAGACAAGTAAAAATTAAGAAACATGAAAATGCAAAAAAGTATGCATACCTTATACCTTATTATAGAGTAAATTAGAGAAAATTTTAAATCTTATTTGGCATCTTACATGTTAGTAAATAATCCAACAATACTATCAGCCAGAGTGCCAGGCACTTAACAGGTCTTGGCACCACACTTCTGAGAGAACAGTAGTAACACCACTGTTATGTTAGAACAGTAGTAACACCACTGTTATGTTAGAACAGTAGTAACACCACTGTTATGTTAGAACAGTAGTAACACCACTGTTATGTTAGAACAGTAGTAACACCACTTATGACAGTAGTAACATCACACTAGTATGATAGAACAGTACTAATAAAACACTAGTATGATAGAACAGTACTAATAAAACACTAGTATGATAGAACAGTACTAATAAAACACTAGTATGATAGAACAGTACTAATAAAACACTAGTATGATAGAACAGTACTAATAAAACACTAGTATGATAGAACAGTACTAATAAAACACTAGTATGATAGAACAGTACCAACATCACACTAGTATGATAGAACGTTAGTAACAGCAAACTAGTATGACAGAACAGTAGTAACATCAAACAAGTATGACAGAACAGTAGTAACATCAAACAAGTATGACAGAACAGTAGTAACATCAAACGAGTATGATAGAACAGTAGTAACATCAAACAAGTATGACAGAACAGTAGTAACATCAAACAAGTATGACAGAATAGTAGTAACATCAAACGAGTATGATAGAACAGTAGTAACATCAAACGAGTATGAGAGAACAGTAGTAACATCAAACGAGTATGATAGAACAGTAGTAACATCAAACGAGTATGAGAGAACAGTAGTAACATCAAACGAGTATGATACAACAGTAGTAACATCAAATGAGTATGACAGAACAGTAGTAACATCAAACGAGTATGATAGAACAGTAGTAACATCAAACGAGTATGAGAGAACAGTAGTAACATCAAACGAGTATGATAGAACAGTAGTAACATCAAACGAGTATGAGAGAACAGTAGTAACATCAAACGAGTATGATACAACAGTAGTAACATCAAATGAGTATGATAGAACAGTAGTAACATCAAACGAGTATGATAGAACAGTAGTAACATCAAATGAGTATGATAGAACAGTAGTAACATCAAACGAGTATGATAGAACAGTAGTAACATCAAACAAGTATGATAGAACAGTAGTAACATCAAACAAGTATGATAGAACAGTAGTAACATCAAACGAGTATGATAGAACAGTAGTAACATCAAACGAGTATAATAGAACAGTAGTAACATCAAATGAGTATGATAGAACAGTAGTAACATCAAACAAGTATGATAGAACATTAGTAACATCAAGCTAGTATGATAGAACAGTAGTAACATCAAACGAGTATGATAGAGCAGTGTAACATCAAGCTAGTATGACAGAACAGTAGTAACATCAAACTCGTATGATAGAACAGTAGTAACATCACACTAGTATGAGACACCTTCAAACAACACCATACTATGTACAGGACACCCACAAAATGTGGGAAATTTGTGACGGGAATGTCCAACACTACACTGGTTATAGTGGACAACTTTAACACAGACAGCACTAAACAACACTATACATTGGTTATATTGGACCACTTCAACATTGACAGCACTAAACCCTTTACACTGGCTATACAAGACCACTCTAAGAATTTCTTTCAACAAACCGGCAGTATCCCACCTAGGCAGGGTGGCCCAAAAAGAAAAACAAAAGTTTCTCTTTTTAACTTTAGTAATGTATACAGCATTGTTTACAAGTGCAGTGAATGATAATACCAGCAATCTTAGAGCTACAAATGTCACATTATAATAAAGCAGCAGCTTTCTGACTTACCAGAGAGCTCTAATTGCTACCCAAACTACACCAACAGATGTGAATGGCTTTCTTAATGAGCATATATAAATAAGGTGTTCTAACCTGCTTCCTTGTCTCAAGATCAAAGGTTCCATTAATGGTGACAAGGTAGCGGTTGGCTCGTTCCAGCCTTACAACGCTCTTTAGTCCCATTGCATGACATATACTGACAGCATTTGTACTCCAGGCAGTTGTGAAGTTCAACCTGTGGGTGGAAAGCATTGTGATACTCTAATGTATGGCAATATATACCCCTTCTCCTGTATAAATAACTAAATTTAAAAAGAAAAACTTTGTTATTTTTTAGGAATAACGGAAAAGTTGGTAGATGGATCTACAACTTCCTGATGAGTAGAACACAAGAGTAATAGTAAACTGAGTAAAGTCCCAGGCAGCCACGGTAAAAAGCTCTGTTCCACTAGGCACAATACTTGTTCCCATTCTATTACTCATCCATTTCTGACATAGACAAAGATGTAAGCCACACCTCCGTGTCTTCCTTTGCATATGACACCCGGATTACCATGGCAGTGACCTCCAACAAAGACACCGCAAGACTCCAAGCAGACATCAACCAAATCTTCGAATGGGCCACTCATAACAATATGAAGTTCAACGAGGAGAAATTTCAACTACTACTCAGATATGAGAAACGTGAAGAAATTAAAAATGTGTCAGGGTATACAACAAATCCTAACCATACAATAGAGCAGAAAAGTAATGTGAAGGACCTAGAAGTGATAATGTCAGAGGATCTCGCCTTCAAAGACTACAACAATGTACAGTATCTACCTCATCTGCTAGGAAAATGATAGGATAGATAATGAGAACCTTCAAAACTAAGGATGACAAGCTCATGATGATTCTCTTCAAATCTCTTGCACTCTCTAGGCTGGAATACTGCTGTACACTAACGGCCCCCATCAAGGCTGGTGACATTGCAGACCTGGAGTGTACGAAGAACTTTCACAACACACACGAGTACGATAAGGCACCTAAACTACTGGGAACGGTTGAAGGTCCCTGATTTGTATTCCCTCAAATGCAGGCGAGAGAGATACATAATAATATACACTTGGAAGGTCCTGAAGGGATTGGTACCAAACCTGCACACGAAAATCACTCTCTATGAAAGCAAAAGACTCGGCAGGAAATGCAACATTCCCCCGATGAAAAGCAGGGGTGCCACGAGTACAATGAGAGACAACACAATAAATGTCTGGGGCCCAAGACTGTTCAATTGCCTCCCAGCATACATAAGGAGGATTACCAATAGACCCCTGGCTGTCTTCAAGAAGGCACTGGACAGGCACCTAAAGTCAGTACCTGACCAACCGGGCTGTGGTTCGTGCGTCAGCTTGCATGCGGCCAGCAGTAACAGCCTGGTTGATCAGACCCTGATCCACCATGAGGCCTGGTCTCAGACCAGGCCACGGGGGCATTGACCCCTGAAATCCTCTCCAGGTAATCTCCAGGTAAAACCCTGGGATGTGGCCAGTTCCTTGAAAAAATATATTCAGTATACCTTCCATATGATGATCTAACTGGTGATGACAGTTGTGACAGACTTCAAAATGACTGTTTTCTGTTACTAAACAATGATCTACTTTGTACAGAAGGAACTTGATCCATTGTTTCCATAGTGATTGATCCAGCAGATTTTGTTAAGTATTACTGAAGTCCATTATATGGGGTCCAATACAGCCTATCCTCACTTGACAATGGAGTTACAGTCCTATGACCACATCGGTAAATGAATTCATCGCTAAGTGAGGAGCATACTATAATAGTAGTGGGTTTGTGTCAACCATCTTTGATATTGTTCTAATGTCACCTTTGCACCATTTATGACATTTCTAGTACAGTTTTAAATGTTTTTTACAGTAGTTTACTGTATATTGAAATAAACAGAGTAGAGGAAATCAGCTCTAATATACATTATTTAGGTAAGCATACTGGTCAGAGAGCCCATTTTAAGTCCAAGTCGTCGGTAAACAAGTACATTGCTAAGTAAGGAGATGCTGTATATTAGGACAGAATGAGAGAGGTGGAGTGATACTCACTATCCTCACACTATGATACACTCATCATCCTCACACTATGATACACTCACTATCCTCACACTATGATACACACACCATCCTCACACTATGATACACTCACCATCCTCACACTATGATACACTCACCATCCTCACACTATGATACACACACACATCCTCACACTAGATTACACTCACCATCCTCACACTATGATACACACACCATCCTCACACTATGATACACTCACCATCCTCACACTATGATACACACACCATCCTCACACTATGATACACACACCATCCTCACACTATGATACACTCACCATCCTCACACTATGATACACACACCATCCTCACACTATGATACACTCACCATCCTCACACTATGATACACTCACCATCCTCACACCCATGATACACTCACCATCCTCACACTATGATACACTCACCATCCTCACACTATGATACACACACCATCCTCACACTATGATACACTCACCATCCTCACACTATGATACACACACCATCCTCACACTATGATACACACACCATCCTCACACCATGATACACTCACCATCCTCACACTATGATACACTCACCATCCTCACACCATGATACACTCACCATCCTCACACTATGATACACTCACCATCCTCACACTATGATACACACACCATCCTCACACTATGATACACTCACCATCCTCACACTATGATACACTCTCCATCCTCACACTATGATACACTCACCATCCTCACACTATGATACACTCACCATCCTCACACTATGATACACTCACCATCCTCACACTATGATACACTCACCATCCTCACACTATGATACACTCACCATCCTCACACTATGATACACTCACCATCCTCACACTATGATAAAACTCACCATCCTCACACTATGATACACTCACCATCCTCACACTATGAACACTCACCATCCTCACACTATGATACACTCACCATCCTCACACTATGATACACTCACCATCCTCACACTATGATACACTCACCATCCTCACACTATGATACACTCACCATCCTCACACTAATGATACACTCACCATCCTCACACTATGATACACTCACCATCCTCACACTATGATACACTCACCATCCTCACACTATGATACACTCACCATCCTCACACTATGATACACTCACCATCCTCACACTATGATACACTCACTATCCACACACTATGATACACTCACCATCCTCACACTATGATACACTCACCATCCTCACACTATGATACACTCACCATCCTCACACTATGATACACTCACCATCCTCACACTATGATACACTCACTATCCTCACACCATGATACACTCTCCATCCTCACACTATGATACACTCTCCATCCTCACACTATGATACACTCACCATCCTCACACTATGATACACTCACCATCCTCACACTATGATACACTCACCATCCTCACACTATGATACACTCACCATCCTCACACTATGATACACTCACCATCCTCACACTATGATACACACACCATCCTCACACTATGATACACTCACCATCCTCACACTATGAGAACAGATTATCCAACTTACGAGGTGATATAAAAAAGACCTGGAAAACCCTATCAGAAATTCTAGGAACAAAAAAGATATCACGAAATAGCGAATAAAAATTTGCAAATCAGATGAACCCCAACTCCCACCAACAGAAACAGGAAACAGACTCAATGACTTCTTCTCCACTATAGGACAAAACCTTGCCAATAAAATCCCAAGCTCAGATACCCCACCAAATGACTACCTCACTGGCAACTACCCGAACACACTGTTCCTAGCTCCGACTAACCATATACGAAGTCTCCCTTATTATCAACACGCTAAAAAACAAGGCAGGAGATTTAAATACCTTACCACCCTTTATATACAAAAAAGTGTCACAAGTGCTATCACCAATCATTGCAACACTCTTTAACAAATCCATTGAATCCTCCACCTTCCCTACAGTACTCAAAATAGCAAGGGTCACCCCGATCCACAAAGGAGGAGACCAAACAGAGTTGAATAACTATAGGCCAATATCCAACTTACACCCTCTCTCAAAAATCTTCGAAAAATTAATTCATAAACGAATCTACTCCTACCTTATCTCCCAAAACATACTCAACCCCTGCCAATTTGGATTCAGGCCAAATAAAAATACTAATCATGCTATTATACACATGCTAGAACATATATACACTGCAATAGAAAAAAAAGAAGTCCCACTGGGGATCTTCATTGACTTACGTAAAGCTTTTGATACAGTTAACCATGACTTGCTCCACGTAAAATTGTCACACTATGGTATAAGAGGGCACTCCCTCAACTACCTCAAGTCATACCTCAGCAACAGAAGCCAATATGTGTATGCAAATGGGGCAAACTTCTGCACAACCAATTACAGTTGGTGTCCCACAGGGAAGTGTCCTTGGCCCTCTTCTCTTTCTCCTATACATAAATGACCTACCAAATGCTTCGCAATTACTCAAACCCACACTATTTGCAGATGACACTACATACGTCTTCTCCCACCCGAGCCCAGTCACGCTAGCCAATACTGTAAATACCGAATTACAGAAAATATCTACCTGGATGAGGACTAACAAACTTACACTAAACATTGACAAAACCTACTTCATTCAGTTTGGTAACAGAGCTACAGATGTCCCTCTTAACATAATGATAAACGGATCACCTATCACAAAGCTAACAGAGGGAAAATTCTTAGGAATCCACCTTGATAATAGACTCAAATTTCATACACATATACAACAAATTTCTAAGAAAATTTCCAAGACTGTAGGCATACTATCGAAGATACGGTACTATGCTCCACAGTCAGCCCTCCTGGCCCTATATCACTCTCTTATTTACCCCTATCTCACCTATGGAATTTGTGCATGGGGCTCAACAACAAGTAACCATCTCAGACCACTAATTACCCAACAAAAGGCTGCAGTTAGAATGATAACAAATTCTCACTATAGGCAGCACACTCCACCAATATTCAATACACTAAACCTATTCACCATACAAAACATTCATACTTATTACTGCACCTATTACATACATAGAACACTTAACTCTGATATTAACCCTCCCCTCAAACATCTCCTTGCCAACCTCAACAGA